TTTTTTTTTTGAGACAGAGTTTTGCTCTTGTTGCCCAGGCTGGAGTGCAATGGCGCTATCTTGGTTCACTGCAACCTCCACCTCCCGGGTTCAAGCGCTTCTCCTGCCTCAGCTTCCCGAGTAGCTGGGATTACAGGATGTGCCACCACACCCGGCTCATTTTGTATTTTTAGTAGAGGCAGGGTTTCTCTATTGTTAGTCAGACTGGTTATGAACTCCCAAGCTCGGGTGATCCGCCCGCCCCAGCCTCCTAAAGTGCTGGGATTAAAGGCATGAGCCACTGTGCCCAGTCTTCCATTTCTTTTTTAACCAGTACATATAGTTTTGATTTTTATGTTTAAGTCTAGCCTTAAAAATCTTTTTTTTTTTTTTTTTTTGGCTGGGTGCAGTGGCTCATGCTCATAATCCCAGCACTTTGGGAGACCAGAGCAAGAGGATCACTTGAGTCTAGGAGTTTGAGACCATCCTGGGCAACGCAGCAAAACCCTATACCTAAAAAAAAAAAAAATTTGGCCGGGCACGATGGCTCATGTCTGTAATTCCAGCACTTTGGGAAGCCGAGGTGAGCAGATCACCTGAGGCCAGGGGTTCGAGACCAGCCTGGCCAACATGGTGAAACCCCATATCTACTAAAAAAGTACGAAAAAGGTGAGCCAGGCGAATGGTGGCTCAGCAATCTGTGAATCTCCAGGCTACTGTCTGGAGGCTGAGGGCAGGAGAATGCTTGGAAGCCACGAGGTTGAGTTACAAATGAGCACTGAAATCAGCTCGGTGCAACTGGCACTCCAGCGCTGAGCAACAAGGAGCTAAAATTAAATCGTAAAAAAAAAAAAAAAAAGGAAAAAAAAGTTTTTTTTTTTCTTTTTTTTTTTTTTGAGACTGAGGTCGTGGCTCTGTCGCCACAGGCTGGAGTGCAGTGGCGGATCCTTCAGCTCACTGCAAGCACCTCCGGGTTTACGCCATCTGCCCTGCCTCAGCCGCCGCGAAGTAGCTGGGACCACAGGCGGCCGCCAGCTATCGCGACCGGTAAGTTTTTGTGTATTTTTGTTAGTAGAGATTTGGGGTTTCACCGTGTGTAAGCCAGGCATGGGTCCTCACTCCTGGACCTCGATGATCGCCCCGTTCTCGGCCGTCCCAAAGGTGCTGGATTATAGGCTTGGAGCTCACCGCGGCCGGCCTAAAAAATTTTGTTTTAAATTAGCCAAGCGTGGTGCTGGCCATGCACCTGTAGTCCCTAGGCTTTCGTGGACAGACTGAAGGCTGGGAATTGCTTGAATCCCGGGAGGCTGAGGCTGCAGTGAGCCTTGATCACACCATTACACTGCAGCCTAGGTGACAGCCAGACCCCATCTCAAAAAAAAAAAAAGTCTAGTCATAGCTGGAGACAGTGGCTAACATCTGTAATGCTAGTGCTTTGGGAGGTCGAGGCAGGAGAATCACTTGAGGCCAGGAATTCGAAACAACGAATTGCTGGGCAACGTAGCAAGACCCCATCTCTACAGAAAATTTTAAAATTAGCCAGGCATGGTGACACACCTGTACTCCTAGCTACTGGAGAGGATGAGGCAGGAAGAGCGCTTGAGCCTCGGAGTTGGAGGTTCATTTGTGGGGTTTTGTTTGGTTTTTGTAAATAAGGAGCTGACTTGATTTTTGTCTGTTCTTTCTTTCCTTTCTTTTCTTTTTTTTTTTTTTTTTTTTTTTTTTTTTTTTTTTTAGACGGAATCTTGCTCTGTTGCCCAGGCTGGAGTGCAGTGGTGGAATCTTGGCTCACTGCAACCTGCACCTCCCGGGCTCAAGCAGTTCTCCTGCTTCAGCTTCCAGGGTATCTGGGACTATAGGCGTGTGCCACCACGCCCAGCTAATTTTTGTATTTTTAGAAGAGACAGGGTTTCACCATTTGGCCAGGCTGGTCTCAAACTCCTGACCTCAAGTGATCTGCCTGCCACCTCCCAAAGTGCTGGGATTACAGGTGTGATCCACCAAACCCGGCCCTGACTTGATTTTTTTCAATACTGCATCAAGGACATCAAAGCCATTGGATTAGTGCTATAAAAACATTTTTAAATAACCAAATTTTCCCTGCCTTATTTTATAATTGGAGGATATGCCAGAAAAGTTTGAGTTCAGCCTGGAATAGAGTAAGGATTATGGCTAGGTAATAGGAATAGTTACTAGGAAACTGGCTTAAAAAAAAAAATTAAAAAGCGTTCCTGGTAAGTTTGAATTTTTAGGTAATATTTATTTTCTTAACACATAGCCATATTCAAACTACTGTCATTCCCATGTGAGTAAGAAAAAACACAATTCCAGTAAACATCTATGGGGAAAGGGACTTAGAAGTCAGAGACTTGAATTCAGATTCCAATTTTTTGCTTACTGGCATTATGAACTTGATGGAGTATTCAAATTTTTCTTTATAGAACGTTTTAAAATAGGCACTCTGAAATTTGAGTTAATTCTTATATATGGTTTCGTCTGCAAGATACCAGTTCTCAGGGACTGAATTGTTTTTTTTCCAGTTTACTATAAACACACCACCTACTCCAGAAGACCTGATGTTAAGTCAATATGTTTACCGACCCAAGATACAGATTTATAGAGAAGATTGTGAGGCTCGTCGCCAAAAGATTGAAGAGTATGAAAGCTTTAATTTTTATGTGTGTTTTTTTGAGGGGAGGGGAGGGATCAGTGAATAGTTTGTGTGGTAACGTTTTGATTAGAATAACACTGGCATGGGGTAAGTTGATGGCATTAATTGGCAGTGTGATGTGGGAGAAAGAGCTTTGGCCTTGTAGTCAGATTGAAGCTCAATCTTGGCTTCAGCACTAGCTGTGTAGCCTTGGGTAAGTCATTTAACCTTCATTTCCAAATCCATCAAGTGGGCTTAATAAAACCTACTCAGCCAATAGATATGAACAATAGAAATGGCGTATATAAATTGTTTTCATACCATTCTTAGGAAAAAGTAGGTCCTTAATAAGAATAAACAGTAATTATTAGATTATGATATCATAAGTTGATTGCTAGAGAACATCTTCAAAAGAAAATAACCCTTTAGAGATTTATGGAAGTTGAGTAACCCTAATATGGAAATTGGAAATCTGAAATGCTCCAAAATCCAAAACGTTTTAGCCACCAACATGATGCAAGTGGAATATTCCACACATAAATACTTAAGTACTTTACACAAACTTTGTTTCATGCACAAAATTGTTTAAAATATTGTATAAAATTACCTTCAAACTATGTGTACAAGGTATATATGAAACATAAATGAATTTTACGTTTAGGCTTGGGTTTCACCCGCAAGATTTCTCATATATCCGAATAGTCCAAAATCCAAAATACTTCTGGTCCCAAGCATTTCAGATAAGGGGTACTCAATCTGTATATAGTGCCTGAAATCAGATTGCCTTTGAGTGTATAATGTTACCACATTTACGCTTGTTTACGTATATGAAAGAACATGGTTTTACTTAGAAGATAGCTCATTGCTATGGTACACATAAATACTGCAGACTGATTTACAAATTAGATATATCTAGATTCCCTTAGGTAAATCAGACTTTAAAACTCAGAATAATGTTTATGTCATACTCATCTGGGACTATCCAACTAAATTTGAACCAATCTAACAGAAAAGAAATAAAATAATCTTTAAGAATTATCTGTGTTTTAGAAGTAGAAGAAAAAGAATATTAAAAAAATTTAAAAAGAATTACATAGTTTTAAAATCAGAAATGTAAGATATTTCAGATTTGCCTGATTCTGTTCATTTAACAGATATTTATTGAGCACCTATATCTGCCAGGTACTGTACGATGCACTGGGGTTCATCACTGAACAAAACTGGCAAATTTTATATCTTCATGTTGGAAAGAGTTGGCTGGGTCAGGATTTCCCTGAGAATGTTTGTTTGTTTGTTTGTTTGTTTCTTTGTTTTAATTGAGACGAGAGTCTTGCGATGTTGCCCAGGCTGGAGTGTAGTGGTGCCATCTCAGCTCACTGCAACTGCCTCATCCTGGATTCGAGCAATTCACCTGCCTCAGCCTCCCAGGTAGCTGGGATTACAGGTGCCCGCCAACAGGCCGGGCTAAGTTTTGTATTTTTAGTAGAGACGGGATTTCACCATGTTGGCCAGGCTGGTCTTGAACTCCTGACCTCAAGTGATCCACCCACCTCAGCTTCCCAAAGTGCTGGGATTACAGGCATGAACCACCGCACCAGCTGAGAATGTTTATTTTGAATGAAAGAGGATCTTACACTCAATGAGCAGTCGGTTTAGGTGTGCTTTACTGTTTGATTTTGCATCTGTGTGCCTGCATATATTCTCTACAAGAGATCTTTTATCTCCGTTAGAAATTTATTTTCTCCATTTATTAACAAAATACTAATATATATTGAGACTATAATAGCTTTGCTGCTTTTATAAATGCTATTCTAAAAATGTGAAATATGACTTTGAACTGAATTGGAAACTTTATTTATTTATTTATTTATTTATTTATTTATTTTTATTTTTTATTTTTTTTGAGACAGAGCCTCACTCTGTCACCCAGGCACGATCTTGGTTCACTGAGAAATCCACCTCCTGGGTTCATGCCATTCTCCTGCCTCAGCCTCCCGAGTAGCTGGGACTACAAGCGCCCGCCACCACACCCAGCTAATTTTTTATTTTTAGTAGAGGCGGGTTTTCACCGTATTAGCCAGGATGATCTCTATCTCCTGACCCCGTGATCTGCCCGCCTCGGCCTCCCAAAGTCCTGGGATTACAGACGTGAGCTACCGCATCTGGCCAGGAACTTTTATTAAAATAACATACAAAGGCCGGGCGCGGTGGCTCAAGCCTGTAATCCCAGCACTTTGGGAGGCCGAGACGGGCGGATCACGAGGTCGGGAGATCGAGACCATCCTGGCTAACACGGTGAAACCCCGTCTCTACTAAAAAAATACAAAAAACTAGCCGGGCGAGGTGGCGGGCGCCTGTAGCCCCGGGAGGCTGAGGCAGGAGAATGGCGTGAACCCGGGAGGCGGAGCTTGTAGTGAGCTGAGATCCGGCCACTGCACTCCAGCCTGGGCGACAGAGCGAGACTCCGTCTCAAAAAAAAATAAAAATAAAAATAAATAAAAATAAAAAATAAAATAAAATAACATACAAAAAAATTAACTGGGCGTGGTAGCGCACACTTGTATTCCCAGCTAACCGGGAGGCTGAGGCAAAGGCTGAAGCAAGAGAATTGCTTGAACCCAGAAGGCGGAGACTGCAGTGAGCCAAGATTGCGCCACTGCACTCCAGCCTGGCAGCCTGGCAACAGGGTGAGACTTCATCCCAAAAATAATAATAATAATAATAACAGTAGCTACAACTTTATAGCAGCGATCATTGACAGACCTTAGGATTCTTTATAAGCAAAATGCTTCACATTGGAACAAGTTGGTATGTTGAGATGAGAATTCTATTAGTGACAGAAGTTTTTTTTGATTTGTGACATTCTTGAACTGTTATTCAAGTGAATAATCAGATTGAATAATCAAGCTTTTCTTGAATGAATTCCCCTCTTATTATGTAGAAAAAAACTAGGAAGAATTAAATTAAACCTGACTGTAGATCTGGGCTGTTTTGTTCAAGCTGGCTTCTGAACCCTGTGCTAATTAACTTTTCTGTATTTTAGATTAAAGCTTTCTGCATTGAACCAAGATAAGCTGTTGGCTGATATAAATAAGAACCTGTGGGAAAAAATGAGACACTGCTCTGACGACGAGGTACTTTTGTCTCATTTTCTGAATGGGAATCAGTAAAGACATTCTGAACAATGTTTATTGTGAAATAAGTAACTGTTACTTGGTCATCAGTGATGAGTTATTTAACTTATTTTTTAGGTATAATGTGGTACCAAGGTCTTATTTAATTACACACAATTGTTAATATGTAATCATTTCAAACCTGAGATGATCAATTTAATATATGAACTATAGTTGAAGTTTATTTAGAGTTCCCTCCTTGCTATTTGCCTTTCACTTAGATTTAGACGAAGAGAAGATTTACTTTAATTGATTAAATAGCAAGCGACCCATTTTATAAATGTGCCCTAATATATTAAAAAGTTTCCTTAACTAGGAGCCTGTCATTTTCTAATTCATAATATGAATAAGTGAATTAAAGGCAGGAATCAAAACTGAAATATTTTTTCTGGTCTTAGACAACAATTATATGGAATTAAATTTGCCAATGACAAATGTTGTGCCTTAGGATAGGCAAATCCATTTACCTCTTCTGACTCATTTGTTTTAGTACAATGTACTCTATAACTTTCCCTTCCAGCTGAAGGCCTTTGGAATTTACCTTAACAAAATAAAATCACGTTTTACCAAGATGACTAAAGTCTTCACTCACCAAGGAAAAGTGGCTCTGTATGGCAAGCTGGTGCAGTCAGCTCAGGTAATTTGAGACAGTTAATATCATAGAAAGAGATATTAAAATTACTTTATAGTGGTTATAGAATATGAAGAATCTTCCTTAGAAGACATGTGAATAAGACTTGGGCAAAAACTTACAATTAAGAGGTAAGGTTCAATTTGTCAAAAGTGGCAAATCCTGGCATCTTGAGTAATACTGGAATATAATTACTAATGTGGACCTATGTCTAATCTCAAATACTATTATCCATCATACATACTGAAATATATAGGATTCTGGTCTCCCATTGCTAAGGACTATATCATAGTATTATCTTCTTCATAGTCCATACTAAGCTGTATATGTGTGTACATGTGTGTAAAGCAGCATTTCCCAAAATGATTAGCTTTTTTAAAAGGCTCTGCATTAAAAAACTTTCCATTGGCAAATAAGTATGGGAAATGTTGCAAGCAATATGCCCTTTCAGAGAAATACAATTTTTTAAAGTCTAAGCATAAATGCTATAATTATTTTTGACCACTGTTTCCCATGTTTAGTTCATCATAGAAATGTTTTTAAGTAATAAATATTAATATATTGTATTCCATGGAACACTTACAGAAATGCTAAAATAAAGTACCAAAATTAGTTTTATGTCAATATACTTTTTAAATTATTTCATTTTCTTTTAATAAAATATTTTATTAAATTTATAAAATAAACTTATTTTCCGGAGTTCTTTTAGCTAAAACTTATTTTAATAAAATTATCTTTTATTTTTTAAGTTCCAACTTAAAGCTTTGACCTTCATTTTAAGTTTTGCCTGTTTGTGGCCTAGGCGTGGTGGCTCACGCCCGTAATCCCAGCACATTGGGAGGCCAAGGCAGGCAAATCACGAGGTCGGGAGATCGAGACCATCCTGGCTAACACGGTGAAACCCCATCTCTACTGAAAATACAAAAAATTAGCCGGGCGTGGTGGCGGGCGCCTGTAGTCCCAGCTACTCGGGAGGCTGAGGCAGGAGAATGGTGTGAACTCAGGAGGCGGAGCTTGCAGTGAGCCGAGATCGAGCCACCGTACTCCAGCCTGGGCAACAGAGCGAGACTCTGCCTCAAAAAAAAAAAAAGATTTGACTGTTTGTGATCATGATAGAGCAATTATGTGAGCAATCTGAACCATTTATAATATTTTCTTTAGAGGTTTAACCTGACAGTCTGTAATCTTTTGTATTTAGAATGAGAAGGAGAAACTTCAAATAAAGATAGATGAGATGGATAAAATACTTAAGAAGATCGATAACTGCCTTAGTGAGATGGAAACAGGTAAAGTATTTTAAATACTTTTCCAAAAAAAAATTTAATTGTATCTAAATGCTCTCCTACAGTAGAGAATGTTGATACCACAATATTGAAGCCTTTTTTAGCAACTTGAGATATTAAATTAGAGTAAATTGGCTGGACACAGTGGCCCACACCTGTAATCCCAGCACTTTGGGAGTCCGAGCCGGGCAGATCACTTGAGGTCAGGAGTTTGAGACTAGCCTGACCAACATAGTGAAACCCTATCTCTACTAAAAATTTAAAAATTAGCTGGGCGTGGTGGCGGGCGCATGTAGTCCCAGCTACTCAGGAGGCTGAGGCAGGAGAATCGCTTGAACCCAGGATGCAGAGGTTGCAGTAAGCCAAGGTTGCGCCACTACACTCCAGCCTGGTGACAGAGTGAGACTCCATCTCAAAAATAATAATAATAAATACATAAATAAGTAAATTAGAGCAAATTAAAGTTCCTTTACTATAGTTATCCATAATACAATCAAGAGCTTCTCAAGATAACCTAGATTGTAATTTTGTGTTTTTTAATAGATGAATTTATCTCAGTTTAAAAACTGTCTGTCTTTTCAGTTTGGCCTTTCATAATCCCAACTTTTTAGAGTTACTCTCCTGAAACTGCTTTCTCAAAGATCACATAATTCTGCATAGTCATCAAATTTTGTTCTTCTCAGTCCTTAGCCATTTTGACCTCTTTCAGCATTTGACACTGATGACTGTTCTTTTCTTCCTGAAATGTTCATCTCCCTTAATTTCTATGATAATGCACTACCTTGACCCAGTTGTTTTCTCCTGGCTGCTCCATCCAGCTTCTCTGTTGGCCTCTCTTTCTCTAACTGATCCCTTGTGGGGATTTATATTTTATCACCTATTCTTTTCTATATTCTCTCCCCCAGTGCTTTCGTCTGCCTTAATAATTATGTGACTGATTCCCAAATTTAAATTCCTCAAGCATTTTTTGAGCATGTACGGCATGCCAGAAACTGTGCTTAGTATCAGATAAGCAATAAAAATATTTAAGACACAGATTTTGCCCTAAAGTAGCTTATAGTCATTTCAGGTGAGGGCATCTTTAGCCTCTCTCTCTTGAGTTCCAGACTTAACCTGTATGCAAAAATATCCTTAAACACCTTAAACTCTGAATACAGTCACACTATCTCTACAAAAAACAAAAGTTTAGCTCAGTGTGGTGGCACATGCCTGTAGTCCTAGCTGCTTGGGAGGCTGAGGCAGGAAGATCTCTGGAGCCCAGGAGGTCAAGGCTACAGTGAGGCAAGATCACACCACTGCACTCCAACCTGTGCGACAGAGTGAACTAAATAAATAAATAAATTTAAATACATTCTCCCAGCTCCAAAATAAAATCCAAAAACTTGTTCTCTCTTATGATGTTTCTCATCTTTATTTATAGCAGTGACAATTCTTATAAATTGTAAAAGGCTCAATACTTTCATTGTCTTTGAGGTTCTCTTAACAAGTCCTGTCATCCGCAGCTTCAGTATCTCATGTGTTTATTTCCCTTTCTCATTAAGGCTCATCTTAATTCTGAAATGTGCTATTTCAGTCTTCTATCTAACCTTTATACATTCTTACCATTATTCTGCCTCCTTCCAGTCCAAACTGCACATTGCTGCCAGATTAGTAATTATGAAAGATAGTTTTCATTAATGTTACTCCTCTGAAAAACTTCTGTCTTTCCATTTATTACAAAGTAAAGTCCAAACTTAACTTTCTTTTTTTTTTTTTTTTTGAGATGGAGTCTGGCTCTGTCGCCCAGGCTGGAGTGCAGTGGCCGGATCTCAGCTCACTGCAAGCTCCGCCTCCCGGGTTCACGCCATTCTCCTGCCTCAGCTCCACGCATCTGGGACTACAGCGCCCGTCAC